GTGTATGTGTACGTGTATGTGTACGTGTATGTGTATGTGTATAAGGGGAGCCTGGGGGGAGGGGGGGGGAGCTCTAGCTTCCTCCACTTTTTGCGAGAATTACATTTTCATTTTGTCTAATTTTTTATCATGTCCAACCTTGACTTGGGGCAATTGTTTCGTGGTTACTCGAGCGAATCTGAGGAAATTCTTTGTTTGGACTTCGGTCGAGTCTGTTCTCGGCCTGTGTAAAGCCGTTAAATTATTCTCCGAAGGAAAGAGGGTGTGACTTGTGGCAAGTGTATAGAACGTTAGTTGGGATGACAAAGCAAAACTGATCAATGAAGACTCATACCGCACCTGAGCAGGTTAGTATGTACCATGTGGCGTTGTGGCTGAAACTTGCTGAAAAATATTTACATCTTCCGCCTAAAGAAAGTCAAAATAAACATTATATCCGTACGTCCGTCCGTCCACCCACCCACCCATTCAACCATCCATTCCTATCCATATATCCATCTATCCAATAACTCTCAAACCCACCCACCTTTAGCATCCTTCACCCACAGCATCTTGTAATTCACTCATTCATTGACTCTTCAAGGTTTTCAATTATGTTTTTTCAGAATATATATAATGTTTGTGAAGCGCTTTTGAACTACAAGAATTCATTAGCGCTATATAAAATATAATTTTTTATCATTATTATAACAGCTTACTTTTCGCCCAGTCCAGATTACAGGAAAGACACGTTTTCTCACCGCTCTTTACGTCTATGCTATAAATGTGCAAATTTCTGGCCGATGTCTCTGAACTCGAAAAATACCTATAAGAGAAAATTAATAAGTATTCAATAGGCCTTTTCTGAGTTCGATAAACAGGATGCATTGTGGTCTAGCTTCGGTACAAACAATACCATATAAGGTATGATGTTTGTACCGAAGCTAGACCACAATGCACCATATTCGCTATCTCAAAAAAGGTCTATGCGAGAAGACTTTATCATTATCAACCACCTTGGTTTCCGTGTACAGCGGAAGCCCTGTCAGCCGAGTTTTTGTTCAGCGATTTTTAAAGAACTTTCCGTTGCCAATCACTTATTGATTCGAGAAAGAAAATTACAGGCGCGTCTTCGTAAACGCGGGAAAATTCTGGACCGGATGTTGTTTGGGAGAGAAAATAATGATTTTGACTGTCATCAGATGATGCTCCTTCAAATATTGATAAAATATAATCAATTAAAACTTACACTATTTCCTGCTCTTTGTTAAACGCAAAAATTTTATCTATCTCCCATAAACCGCTTGTCAAATTATTAATTGTACCATTCTCTTTGGTCTGAATAGAAAAGACAAAACTAATATGAAGAAAATGCATCAAAACAAACGAACAAGTAAACRAACGATCAAGTAAACAAACGATCAAGTAAACAAGCAATTAAGTAAACAAGCGATCAAATAAACAAACAGTCGAGTAAACAAACGATCAAGTAAACAAGCGATCAAGTAAACAAGCGATCAAATAAACAAACAGTCGAGTAGACAAACAGTCGAGTAGACAAACAGTCAAGTAAACAAGCAATCAAGTAAACAAGCGATCAAGTAAACAAACAGTCAAGTAAACAAACGATCAAGTAAACAAACAATCAAGTAAACAAACAATCAAGTAAACAAGCGATCAAGTAAACAAACAGTCAAGTAGACAAACAGTCAAGTAAACAAACGATCAAGTTAACAAACAATCAAGTAAACAAACAATCAAGTAAACAAGCGATCAAGTAAACAAACAGTCAAGCAGACAAACAGTCAAGTAAACAAACAATCAAGTAAACAATCAATCAAGTAAACAACAATCAAGCAAACAAACAGTCAAGTAAACAAACAATCAAGTAAACAACAATCAAGTAAGCAAACGAACAAATAAAAAAACGAAGAAGTAAACAAGTAAACGAAACGACCCCACCAACCAATCAACCGATTCACTCACTGCTTTATTCACGTAAAATACAATTCACAAGACGTAACGAACACTTACATTGACTTTTGCTAGGTGAATATATTTGCCATGATTTCCTTGCTCGAAGGGGTGTGGTGTAAGATAGTACGACCCGACTTTAGAGAACCAAGGACTGGGTTGCTGTCAATAAAAAAGAAAGGCATTCCATTGATTTAATCAAGCTGGAAAATTACGTGATAATCTTATGCATAAGCCTATACATCAGCCATTCCTAGGTCGAGTTGGGGCAGTGCATTTTTGGGGCTGTTTTAAGGACATATTTACAAGATGGCGTCTATTTCGTACTCAAAAGCAGCCCCAAAATGCACTGCAATACAAACTTGAACCAGTTGTTTCCTCGTACTAACCAAGTATGTGGAGGTATCCACCCAACCATTCTTCACCTCTTGCCTCCGATTCTGTATAACAAATCGAAAAAATAAAAACTAAATATTAATTTACTCTTTAGAAAGACCTCCCATGATGCATGTCTCCTCTCTTCTCCCCTTTGCAATTGCTAAATCTCTTGCCTTAATTTATGGTTTGTTCTGTTCTCTTGTCTTCTCTTCAATCCCTTCTCTCTTCCCCTCTCCTCTCCGATCTCCTCTCCGACCTTCTCTCCGATCTCCTCTCCGATCTCCTCTCCGATCTGCTCTCCGATCTGCTCTCCGATCTCCTCTCCGATCTCCTCTCCGATCTCCTCTCCGATCTCCTCTCCTCTCCGATCTCCTCTCCTCTCCGATCTCCTCTCCTCTCCGATCTCCTCTCCTCTCCGATCTCCTCTCCTCTCCGCAGTGTTCATGACAGACACATGAATATAAATACAACTCAAACAAAACAAAACAAATTCTCAAGAGACTAACACGTGGTCTGAAATGGAAAAACATTACATCCAAGAAGAAAAGGTCTATATAAACCCCTAGCGTCCCGAGAGGAAATGTTCTGGAGGGCAAATGGATGTTTTTGCATGAGAAAAGACGTCTTATTGTTTTGTCCCCCAGAACAATTTCTCTAGGAAATCAATGCAAGGGGTCTCTAAACTCCTAAACATACTATGCTATACACCTAATTGAAAAAACGTTGTCGGGTTCGAGAAGGTCATATCATCGAAGCTAAGACCGAAAAGGATTTTGGGTACTCCGAAATGTGTATTATATTTGCATATAGACATGTAAAAATGCACAGTAGAGCAAAGTCGGTCGACCTAGATTAACAACTGCCAAAGCCATGATGCATAAAATGTACACAGGAAGGGAAAACTGCAATACACACAAAATTAGCATAATCGTTTATCTTCCCATACTCCCCTTCGGTCTTAGCTTTGATGATATACCTTTTTTTTTTTAATTTTTAATTAGGTGTATACACACCTGATAGCCTGTCCCTGTATCCACATCATGTATAGTCATAACCGATACATTCTGAACTCTGTTGCTCCATCCAACAAGCACTTTGTCGTTGTTCAACCAAGCCATATTGGTAAAGTAGTGATCCCTAAAGATAAATAACTTTGATAAGCGCTTTTCAGTAATTCTTAATCTCGAGGTAAAAACGAAAGGAAGGAAGAAAGGAAATAAAGAGCGTAGAACTATCTTGCTACACAATAACACGAATTACCAAATATACAAATACTATTCTTCATTCTGAATAAATGTGTTTTCTAGCTATGTGTCATCGTACCGTAACAATAGGAGGCCATTTCAATGTCGTACCATGTACGCGCTGTAAAGACAGGATACCTTATGTTCCCCACTCTCAAGAAAACCATTCTTATGTAAAGCCATTTCAATGTTATGGCATGTCGTACCG